CCTTGGCCAACTCCCCTGGTTAGTAGCCTCCTTTTCCCCTCCTTCTTGCATCGCGTACGGTCCTTGCAGCCAATGACTTTTCTAAATTGCTCCACCGCAACCTGTTATATGTTACAATGTTGGGATAACAGTGCACTTTCAGCTGTTGTTATGCAGGTACTCCAGTTCGCACCGGTTCCAGTTATGGCGGACTCAGACGAGTTTCCTGTGATCCAGCTCGGGCCAACTCTCCAATTGGCTTTCATAAAGGAATGGGCAGGAACAGGGGCTCTGGCTACCATAACTACACTTGCCGCATTCGGCAGTCTACTTCTGCTCTGTCGGATTCGCAGACAAAGGAATAGGGACAAAGTATCAAACAAGCATTGCTGATCATGGAATCTGGTCAAAGCCCGGCAGCATGGCTCGCCATGCTGTGATGCAGGTGTGGAGCAAAGCATGGCAGGGGGTGTCGTCCTTGGCCAGGAGACACCCCGGTCCCCATGTTGGCGAGCACGCGGGTTGGGCTCATAAAACAGATTTCCCGCCCCCTCCAAAAGAGCACCAACGAGTAGTGAGGCACTGTCATGACTGCAGCGTGACACCTCACGAGGGGCACCGACCTCTGGAGACCCTGCGTCAGTTATAAAGAAAGGGGGAGATGTTGGGCGCAGGCGCTCAACATACCATACCCCACCCGGGACTAAGGACCACGCCAGCTTCCGCAATGCGCTACGTCCCTCTTTAAATTAGCCAACACGTGTGCACTTCGTGCTCACTCCATACTCTGTGGCAACTCCTGATTGGCCACAGCTGGATATAGTAGCCGGAGCCTACATCCCATTCCCGCCCTGCTTCCTTGTGGCAGCCTGTGATTGGTCACGGCCGAATATATAAACCAGAGCCCGCCTAAATAAACTAGCAGTTAACTGTCGTCCACAAGAGCGTCTCCTGTCTCCTGTTTCATTGGAGCTGCGCCGGTCAGGAAACCTTGAAAGAATGATATAAAAGCATATAAAACAGCCCCACTTTTGAGTGCAAGGAATATATTATGGTAACCATAGTTTCCTATTATCTTGTTTTGAACTCTTATGCTTTCATTCATTCATCTAATTGGTTTTATTCTATTTTATTTTGATTATGTGAGATGTTATGAACAATTACTCTGAAGAAAACAAGACATTATGGTAACCATTGCTAATTTCCTATCATCTTTTTTTGAAGTCCTGTCATGTTTGTTCTACTGTTTTGATTGGTTCTATGCTGTTGTGTTTTGATTTTATTATGTGTGATAGTACTGACAACTTTTCTGAAGAAAATGAGATATAATAACCATTGTTTATTTCCTGTTATCTGGTTTTGAAGTCCTGTAATGCTTTCATTCTTTTGATTGGGTTTATACTATTTTGTTATGTTTGATATTATTGTGTGTGAAGAAATGGTCAACTATTTCGAAGAAAACAAGAGACTATGGTAGCCACTGTCCTGCTGCTTGTATTGTTCTGTTCTGATTTGTCCTGTTTTTTGTTTTGCTTTAAAATTTAAAAGTTATTTTTAAAAGAAAGTTCACAGAGGTGCCTCTGAGTACTCTCATTCTCATTGTTTTATCTCCTCTCTTTTTGAGCCCAAGAACCTGTCTTAGCTAGTACTTTCTGGTCATTGGGACACAATATCCCACACCTACAACCCCAGGGAAGAAAGGTTTATTTTGCCTTACAGTTTGGCTCAAGGTTTCATTCCATAACCAGCTGGCTCCAGGCAGCAGGCATGGCACAGGGGCATTGAAGAGGACAAACAGGTCATGGTGAGATAGCAAAAAGCAGACCAAAATCAGAGGAGGAGAGAAGGAGGAAAGTAATGCACCTCCTCCAACCAAGTGTTACCTTCCAGTGTCACACTGAGCTATGAACTCAAGTTCACGGATCTACTGATGAGTATCACTCCCCTCCCTGCCCAGGATTCAATCGCCTCTCAACAGCCCCACTTTTGAGTGCAAGAGGCTTTTGTTAACAAAATCCATGATTGTTTCCTGTGTTGTCTAAAGTGTGGGTGGCAAAAGTCAGAAACTGTATAGCTTATGATGTCCATTACCCTGCACAGTACAGAGTTAGCACTTTATATTCCTAAAGCAGTTTTTACTATTTTAGTCGAGCAAATGTGGCTGTGCAAATAGTTGCCAAGTCTTTTACACTTTTTTATTGAAATAAATTGGAGCATCCCTGAGGAAATTTTGCAAGTAGTAAATATACTCCAAGGCTGCTTGGATTCTTTTTTCAAAGAGATTGTAATGTAATAGGAAAATTTAGAATGGACATAAGAAGTCAAACAGTATTTATTCCTCATTATAAAGTCTACCCTTGGATGTCAAAAATTTCTGTTCATTAAATACACTTTCCTTTATGGGCCCATAACATGTGCATTGTATTTAAAAAGTTCTCTGAGAAGCTAAGTTGAGGTTACGCATCTTTGTCTTAGCTGTGATGTGAATAGTTGTATAACATCATAAAATGAAGAAACAAGAGAAACATCTATTTAATGCCTTTGCAGTATTCCTGAATGTAATATCAAAAATTCAGAAGTCTTCTTTTCTCCAGTGGTACTAATAAGTCCTGCCATCATGGAGTGTGATTTGTTTGACGAGAATTAGGATAAAATAAACACATTTCAAAACTACATATTTGAAGTTACTCAAAGGTAATACAGTTTGAATGAACGTGATCTTTCGATGAAAATTTGGATTATCAAGCAAGGAAGTCACTTTTTGTTTATATCACTGGAGCAATAATCTTTTTTTCTAGTACTAGTGGTTGAGTCCAGGGCCTTTGCAACATCTGCAGCCCTTGTTTATTATTTTGAAACAGGATCTCACAAAGTCACTAAATTCCCTAGGCTGAGTTTGAATTTTCTGTCCTCCTACCTCAGAGGCCTAGAATGCTGGGATGTGCCACCACACCTGATTAGAACTATAATCTTAGCAGATTTAGTTTACATTCTGTGTGGATGAGGAGACTGACTGCAAAGAGATTAAGTAACTGTCTTGAGTCACACAAATAATTGCATTACTGGTGGAAAAATGGATTATCTGTTCATGGATACCTCTTTCCAAACATTCAAAGACACAAATTCAAAACTGAGTATTTTCAAGTTTTTAACACTATAGTTTTGCCTTATATAGACCTATATTAGGTATATATACCTTATATAGGTCTATATATAGGTATATATATTCTATATATGTATACGTATTATATATATATGGGTATATATGTATTTATGATAAAACTGTAATATATACCTATATATTACACACCTACATATATATCTTTTGTAGCACTTTTTCATTTCATATGTATTTTATAATATATATATATATATATATATATATATATATATATATTCTCCCCCCATAAGCAGCTTGAAGACCATACCCAAATCTAAATGAGTCTGATAGATCTGTCCATACAGTGTCTGACATATACAATTCAATAAAAACTTGAGCAACAAATGAAGAAATGTTCTTTGAGGTTTTCCTCTAAGATTCACAAAACAGCCACCAAATCAGGATGCAGCCGGCAAGGGAAGAACAGAGCAGTGATACAAAGATGGCTTTCTTCTCCTTTGGATGCTGCAGATGTAGTGGTCTCTGTGGCAAGCAGCTCAGAATTAATCAGATGCTGTCTTTCACGATTTTTATTTTACTCCTTTAAGTGGCTTTCGCAGAGTTCTTATTTAAAAAATAGGGATGTTATCCCCATAACAACTAAGGGAAATAAATCTTTCCTAGTTGAATCATTGTGCGGGAAAGGACAGCCAGGGCAAAGACTGAGTTAAACATCGTAGAGTTAAGAGAGAATAAGGAGTGGCTGAGGATGATAAAACTCTCGCTCTCTGTCTGTCTCTCTGTCTCTCTCTCTCTCTCACACACACACACACACACACACACACACACACACACACGCACACCAGTATACTTGGGTTTGGATTAACTTTTTCCTTATTTTGTAAGGCACGTTCTTACTCTTCAAAGTCAGGGCCACTGAACTGCAGACAGAAGCCGTTGGGGTCGTAGACAGTGGACTTGCAGCTGTTAAGCACTAAAATACTGGCCATGAGTATAGGGGTGGGTCCATTTACCATGCAACTGAGCACAGCATTTTGACAAATGGGAGGTATTTAAGAGACCCAGGATCTGATTAAACCGCATGGTTTAGTGCTGTGGTCTCAGCCTGCAGCCCTTCTTAACCCTCAGGGTAGAGAGCTCCAGGACCTTGGGGGTGAGGCCCCACTCTTTCCCCGGGCCAGGCACGGTTACTGAAAAGAACAAGTTACCCGGGTGCACACGTGAGATGGCGAGCCCGCGCCCACGGGCACCACCAGGTTCGCTCTCAGGGAAGGCTGGGAGCCCCTGCGCAGGGTCCCCCACGCGACCGCGGTTGCCGCGCTTTGTCTAGGACTGCAAGAGTAAGTCACCGGCCCGCGGCCCCACGGCCAAGCAAGCACTCGGGCCTAGCAGCTGAAAAGTCCACTGCAGGCGCGGCTACCGACCGAGCGCTGAGGCTCCATCCCCCAGCCTCCCCGCCTCCGCCCCGCCTCCCCGCCTCCGCCCCGCCTCCCCGCCTCCGCCCCGCCTCCCCGCCTCCGCCCCGCCTCCCCGCCTCCGCCCCGCCTCCCCGCCTCCGCCCCGCCTCCCCGCCTCCGCCCCGCCTCCCCGCCTCCGCCCCGCCTCCCCGCCTCCGCCCCGCCTCCCCGCCTCCGCCCCGCCTCCCCGCCTCCGCCCCACCGCCCCCCGCCTCCCCGCCTCCGCCCCGCCTCCCCGCTGCGCCCCGCCTCCGCCCCGTCCCTCCGCCTCAGCCCCTGCCCTCTCGCCGCCCCGCCTCCTCCCCGCCCCTCGCTTTAGCCCCGCCCTCTCCCCGCCTCTCCACTCCGCCCCGCCTCCGCCGCCCGCGAACTCAGTCAGCGGTTCGCGCCGCCGCGCTCCCATTGGCCGGCCGTCGCGTCGCGTCACAATGGAGCCGCTTGGAGGCGGCGAGCAGGTCAGCGCCGAGCCCGGCAGCGCCGGGGCTTCCCGCTGAGCCCGCGGCCGCCTGCAGCCCGAGAGCGGGCGCCCGGCCGCTGCCTAGACCTGGAGAGGAGCGCTGGCGTCCGGGGCCGGGGCGCGCAAGTAGGTCCGGGCGGACACGCGGGCTGGTGCCCTGGGAACCGCGGTGAAGCGAGAGGTTGAGCAAGGGGCGCAGCAGGTGGGGGCGCCGAGCAGGTGCGGTTACCTGTCCGCGCCCCACCTGCGAGCGGGCCAGGCGGCGGCTTCGCCGCGCCCTCGCCTTGGCGGAGAGGACCGCTGGGGCGGGGGCCATGCGAGCGAGAGGAGTGGGCGGTCGGCCGAGGCGGCGCCCTGTGTGCCGTCCGCAGCCCGCGTGCGCCAGAGCCTTCGGCGGGAGGGCGCTGCTTCCCCGCCCAGGTCTCCCTCGGTGAGCGCCCTCCCCGCAGTGTGTCCACGCCGGGTCCCCCGCTCTGCCCGCTGCCCTGGCGCTGCTTGTTAGCAAACATCTGAAGCTCTTGGAGAGTCATTGTTCCCAACAATTTGGTGCTGTTGGGTGTTCAGTCTTTTAAGAAGACAACTGAAGCCCATTTAGAGGGAGGCGCAAAGATTTTTCTCCTCCTGGGTTGTAGCTGGGAGGTCGGAAGGGAAGAGGCTGTGTTGGCTCTTTAATGGTCCGCGTTAATGTCTGACTTCCCAAAATCCATAGGTTGCCGTTAGTTCGGTGACATTTGTGGAAGACTTCTTGTGGACAGAAAGGCTTCTTAGCAGCACCCCAAACCTAGATCTAAAAACAAGAACCAGTGTGTGGATTTCCTTGAATACATTCAACTTATATAAAAACTTAATTACCTGTATGAAAATTTAAAGTTATAAATATGCCGCCAACTTAAAATAGGCAATTTGTTCAGCATATGTTAAGAAATCACAGGTTGGGTGTGTATAGTGGTGATATGGAGTGTGTATTCAGCATGGGCAAAGCCTGGGGTTCAGTCCTCAGCACTGAATAACAATAGTAACTGGTTTTGTAAACCTGGGCACAGGCCAAAGTAACAAAGTCTAATTGTAGTATAATAAGTTAGCAATTCTGGTGTACACTTATGCGCAATTGACATCTCCGGAGAACCCTCTTGATTTGTGGGTGCCAAGGTGACATTCTTTTGCCTGGGCTTAGTCAGCCAGTCAGCCGCACCATTCTAGAAAAGAATACAGCATGACAGCTGGATCCCCCAGTAATTTGGGCCTGTGTGATTTAAGATTATTAGCCTTAACATGTCTGATACTAAAACTTGGTTCAGGGAGTGAAGTGTGCACATTTGTCGTTAAGCACAGTTGAGTCATGGAATTTTCTTGTGTCGAGTTTCTAAAACATTGTTTCCAAAATATCTTTGTGTTGCAATTAATTTACTGTTGTTTGAAACTTGTTCTAGTTTTCTTCGGTTGGAAAGGTGTTCCAGCATACAAAACTTAATGTGAACATTTTCTTTCACATTTTGAGTGATTTCATTTGAGATTTTTTTCCTTTGAAGCCTCTTTCCTACTGCCGTCACCCTTCTCCATTGCTGTTTTACTTTTTAGAACCCTCATAAAGAAAACAGCAACACTAACATGAAAAAGGCCTCAACAAAACTTGAAAAACGTATCAGATTCTTCAAAATGTTTTAGAATAGTCTATGTGGGTATTTTCCCACAGTGGTCTGAACTTCGTCATTTTTGTTTAGGTTTCTGAAACTGAAGGGGAGAAAACATTTTAAAATTTAGAAGAATCATTTAACTGAAATTTTTGAATAGTTATTTTTTGAAATGTCTAATCATTTTAGTGGCATCTGATTATGTTGTATTCTTTTTTTAGTTATTATCCATGCAATAATAATCGATTGAGTTCAGTCCATCACTTTCATTGAGAGTCACATAAGTTGAATGTCCAAATTTGATTTCTCCTTCCTAGCATCCTTTTGCCATTTACAGATACTATCAAAAGCTATTGTGATTCTGTCATGTTACTCCACACCTGGTGAAGTGCTTTGCTTTGCCTTCCATATAGCATATCCCTTACTGCTGTCCTAATTCTGAGTCCTGGGTGCACCAGCAAATAGCTTGGACCTGAGACCACCCAAAAGAAGTATGGAGGCCCATTTACAGGGAAGAATTGATTTACCCAGTGAAAAAGTACCTTATAATTTGTGTCCTGTCCATTTTCATATTGCTACTTTTTATTGTTATTGCCTACTTTCCTTTTATTTTTCATGTATATTTTCTAAACTTCCTGCATGCCCTTATTGTGATTTATTTACTGTTATTTACTTTAAAAATGTACAAAGTGTAGACTTTGTAACCTGTTTTTCTTTTTCTGGATCATTGATTAGTCTTGAATAAAACCAGGACTAGCTCAGATCACTGCATAACTCTCCTCAGTTCTTATCACTGCTGTTCATTTAGAAATTCAACAAAAGTTAATAGTAGACTGTGCTTTATGACTTTCTTTCACTTAAGATTCTACTCAGTTGCAACACAACTTAAATTCCCTCCTTCAGTGCTATTGTGAGGAGAGTAAAGGAAATGAATAAAAATGAGTTGTCAGGGCCTCCACCATGACCTTTCCTTTTTGCCTTTTTGAACTTTATTCTGGCTTTGATATGGGCACATGATTCTCCTTGTCTGTTTCCAGGCTGTGTGTATTGGAACTTCATCTCGTTCTGTTACATAGCCCTTTGTAATTTTTTCTTGTCTCATCCCGGGCATTGCCATAGCTCGTTTCTGCAATGTCCACCATTCGACTCACAGCATCTTTCTCAGAAGCTACCAGCTCCCTCCCCACACACTACCCTTCCCCACCAGTTTTACTTCCAATTCTATGCTTGTTACTGAGATTTCCTGACATTTTTCTCTGCTCATCTCTGGTGGAGACCAAATTCTTTACTGTTGAGTAGTATATTCCTTTGGAGTCTTTTCCAGGCATGCAGAATTGAGAGCGTATTCAAACCTTCATATTTTCTTCTATCAAATTCTTTTTCAGCAGTTTGAAACACCTTTTTTAAAAATCTATTGCAAATTACATTAAAGAGTTCTTCAGATCTAGGAGAATGAACTTTCCAGACAAGTGGGCTTGCATTTCAACTCTGTCATCACTTGAATGAGTTGCTGGATTAGTTCAGATTAGCTACCAGTTAGAGACCACAAAGAACTATAGCTTAATCAAAGAAATGTTTCTCTTTCACATTAAAAAAAAAAGGGACACTCAGACAATCCAGTGATCTGTGACAGTTCTGCAGTCTTAAAGTTCCATATATTGTATCTACCATACATAATACAAAGCCCTCAATTTATGACCCAAGATGAAGCTTCAGCCATCACATCAAAGTTACAGGTAGCAGAAGGAGAAAAGAAGAAAGGGAAGAGGAGGGGAGAAGCAAAAGCCTACAGTCTCATACAATAATTTTATGAAAGCTGCTGTATACTTCTTATTACATATCATTGCTCAGAGATTAGTGCGTGACCTCCCCTCGTGAGAGAGTCAGAAAATGTATCATTTATACAGTCATATTTCTAGCTAAAAAGTGTATGGGGGGATCTCATCTTTAGTGGCAGAATAAGGGGTGAAATGAAAATTGGGGTAGCCAAACATCACAGTTGTTCTAATCCTCTCCCCCTTCTTTTTTGTTTGTTTGTTTTGTTTTTGGTACCAGGGATGGAACTCATGATCTCGCACTGTCAGGCAGGCACTTATACCAGTAAACCAAACCCCCAACCTCCCCCTACTTTTTTTTTCTAGTATTATCCTACAGGATTCTTAAACTAAAAGAAATACACATTAAAGCATCTGATGCAGTATGTGACGTAAGATAAGCTTTTGGTAAAGGCTAGTTTGTATTCTTCCTTATTCTTTTTCTGTTTCCCTGCTGCTACATTGTTAGCATTCAAATCCTTTTTTTTTTTTTTTTTGTCTTTTTCCTTTTTATCGGTACCAGGTCAAATCCTATTTTAACATTTGGCCATTTGCACTACTTGTTGAGTTGCACCTTGGCATGGTGGGTTGTACCTTGGCATTTGGCCATTTGCACTACTTGGTGGGTTGCTTGAATGGCAAAGAAAAACATAACAGAATTTACTTCTTAGTTAAAAACACTATTTAGGTTTAAACATACATGTGCTCTTGAAATCAAAGAGACCTGGATAGGAATCCTGGCTCTGCCACTTAATGTGCAACCATAGGCTCTCTTACTGTTTCCGTATGTATAAATTAGGATGCTTATGAGATACTGGGATTATGTAAAGAAAGAGTATCTTAAATACTTAGTATTATGCCTAATATAGGAGGTAGTTGTTCCTTTCAAATTTGGCCAGATCTGAATTACTGAATTCTTCCACCCCTGATTCCACAAGTGGCCAATTATAAACCTTCTTAGTATATCCTTTATGTATCACTTTTATATTACATCTGTTCCTCTAGTGAACACTGATATAGACTTTGGTACTGCAGATAGTCTTTCAAACTGCTTTGTAGGAAGGGTTTGGAAAAGTTTATAGGTGCTAGCTGAGGAAGCTTTAGAATGCCCGTAACCAGAGCTTAGTGGACCTCAGAAAAATTTTGTCTGGAGCTTAGAAGACCAGAATGCCAGTAAAAAGGCAAATGTTAAAAGGTTAGGCTCAGGAGATTTCAAGTAGAAAGAACGACTTGGCAGTTGAACCGCAAACTATGTGCCTTATGGTATGGCAGAAAATCTATCTGTATTTTGCTCATGTCCTAAGATTTTGCAGGAGACTGAGGTTCTCAGGGTGGTAGATTAATCTGGTGATAGAAATTTCAAGATAGCCCACAATTCAGATTGTGGCATGGCTACTATTGAGGGAGGAGAGTTAGCCAACTTTATACTAAGAACAACAAAGAACATAGGGGAATGACAAAAAGTTTTGGATTTGATCACAATGGAAGCACAGATAAAGCTGGGACCTGAAAGATGGGAGCAGAAAAGAGCTTAGTGGTCAAATGGATTTTCATTTAAAAAGAAGCCAAGTACTCCACAACAGGACAGAAGGAAACATAACTTGAGGGAATGTGAGGAATAAGTAAGACCCCAGCCACCCTTTGCAGGCTCAACATTGCAGAAGTGGGAGACTTTGCTTTG